CGCTCCAGTCCGCTCCAGTCCGCTCCAGCCCGCCCGCGCGCGCCCTGCGGCACGGCATCAGCTCCAGCGCGAGCTGCGTCCGCTCCAGTCCGCTCTGCCTGCGCACCGCTCGTGTAACCGTGTAACCGGGATGAATTAAGGACAACGAGTTCCGGTTCGCTGTGCGGTAATACGCGCTGCAAGACGGAAGTAGTAGTGCCTGCCTGAGGTGGTATAGGGGGAGGTGGTGTGTGGGGGAGAGAGGGAGAGAGAGGGAGAGAGAGGGAGGGAGAGAGAGGGAGAGAGAGAGAGAGAGAGGGAGAGACAGAGAGAGAGAGAGAGAGAGGGGGGGGGGTATAGAGTAAGATAGAGTCCTCACTAGCTGGCTTCGCCGAGTTGCGGCTGAGCGCGAGATAGAGGAACCAGCCCAATAATCCTGTCGTCGTGGCTGAGGGAGAGACAGGGGAGGGGGAGAGAGAATGCTGTCCCTCGCACGGGCCCATCTCCTCCTCCTCCGCACTTCACAGCACCACACCGCCTATCAGCGGTTGTGGGCCGGCTACTGTGTTGTAGGTAGGTCTGGTCGTCGGATAACGAAAACGTGTCCGCCCAATACCTCCGCCGGGTAATGAGACACTCTGATTAATTCTTCAAGAGCCGAGCGGCGCGCGCGTGCCAAGTGGGCTGGGCAGTGAACCTTTGCACCGCAGACGCTTGAATGTTGGGCGGCCCGCGAGCAGAACGAGCAGGCCAAGGGGGTCTTATTTTTGACCTTCGATACTTCGATAAACCCCGTTTTAAAAAAACTTCAACCAAAAAAAATTGAGGGAACTTTCAGCGCTTTCCGATGAAGTATTTTTGCGAAAAAACTTTTATTGAATTCCAATTGAAGTTCACGAACTAGAATATGACATTTCGTTGAACTTCAGCCCGGAGGTTCATGAACTTCGACTCATATTTCCCATGACGGACGGCGCGCGCTGCGGAGGGCTGGGCCGGCGGATCGCTCGCGGCTCTTTGTCCGCGCGGCGCAGCACTGCAGCAGGCAGCCTTCGTGGACAAGAGACCTTGCCGCTCATGACGCTTCGCGAGCCGCGCGCAGCCCCCTCCCCCCC